CCGATACCCGATCCGAGAAAAATGGCACTATCGGAGCCGATACCCGATATGAATATCGGATCGGCGCATCCCTAGCCGATACCCGATATGAATGTCGGATCGGCGCATCCCTACACTCGATTCGCGTTCGAGAGGGTTCGGCGACAGGCTCATATCGGCAAAACAATATATCGGTCGGGCTCTAGTGGTGACGTAAGAAGCGCTGTTTCCGGGTCCAAGCCTCAACTCGCTTCACTTGAGAATACTACCTCAGCAGCCGTTTATGAGCACTGTTTATTCATATTAAACATTTAAGCTAAACGTTTTCAAACTTACGGTGTACACTACAGTCTCCATGCTCACAGCGTCCCAAACACAAATAATTTTTATATTTATTTATTTATATTTTCATTGTCTGGCTATCTGGGATTTCGGTATGGAGTTAAAGGTTAGGATTATAATTTTTTTGGTAGTATTATAACATATTGTGAGTGTATATTATCACCTTTTGTTGTTTTCTCGTGGTATCTGATAGAGAGTGTTTGGACACGGAAGCGGTGACGTGACGTCAGACTTAAGCGGATATAATTCTGACCATGTCTCTCTCTCTCTCTCGCTCTAAAACAGCTGCTTTATGCATAACACCATGAATAATAATTTGCATGTTGCAAAACTGAATTTATGCAATAATTCATTACAATGAGATTTCTAGGCATTCCTTTTCTTTTATTCGACACCTGATGTGTGCAGTTTACTTTGCTTGCTTTAAAAAAGTTTTCTTCAGCATTTTGTTTTGTTTTTTTGATTGCAGTCTTTTTTCCACTGCTATTGTTTTCTTTGGATTTGCTTCTCAGTTCCATTCAATTTTAAGCTTTTCTTTGTTCATTCCATGTTTTATAGGCAACCTCTGTAATGCTAATTCAGATTAGCACAGTTGGTTTTAAATTAATCTAGTTTATTTTAGTTCAGGACTGCATAGTCCAGGAGTTAGTTATCTGTACTTAAAGGGTTAGTTCACCCAAAAATGAAAATTAGCCTGTGTTTTACTCACGCGCTCAACGCATCCTAGGTGTATATGACCTTCTTCTTTTATACAAACCCAATCGGAGTTATATAAAAAATTGTCCTGGCCCCTGCAAGCCTTACAATGGGGGTAAGCGGTAGTGCTGTGTTCAAAATATCGATACGACGATGTATCGTCACAGAGATTTGACGATACGAGTATCGATACAGATGGCCCTGTATCGATATTGTGGCTCGTGTGCAGCAGTGGACCGCTCTTAATTTTACAACGTTTAAAATTGAGTAGAAAAGTGCAAGGTTTTTAAAAAAGAATGAATAGAGCATCAGTTAATAATCTGGCCGCAGAGGAACACAACTGGGTTGCCTGATATAAAGAGACGTAAACCCCAAAACAGAGCTTCACACTTGCGCAATACGGAAATATCTGCTAAGTGTGCTACTTATCTTTGTCAACCTGGCAACCATGTGCACGCGCTCTCTCCACTGTGGATAAAAGCGCTGGCTTTCTGAAAACATATACACTGTAATTATGAAACAAAGCGACATATTTGTACTAGACACATGTAAAATTACTGTGGATAAAAATATATATATATTCCAATATATATATCCCATGTGGATTTACACAAACTGAGAAAGTCAAAAAGTGTTACTTTGTGCCCTGCTTACCGATATATCGGCGACAGGCTCATATCGGCCGATAATATCGGCAAAACGATATATCGGTCGGGCTCTAGTATGAATACCACCGTTTTGCCGCGTTTCTCTATTAAAAGTAAAGCTGTGGCTTTAATTCCTTTAGAAACAATGATGCTACCAGCTCCTTGTTGAGAAAGATAATGTAGCTCTTGAGCGATTAAGCTATTTAGTTGATAAAACTGCGGGGCAGCGCTAAAAAGTTTGCACCTAAGCGAACTTGCGTGCGCGTTAGATACAGTATAGACAGCGCGTTAGTTTAGAACTCTTCTCATTTTTTTTTTTTATTGTAGAGAGTGTGTTAATTTGTGCAATGATAACCTACCAGCAATGTAAATGATTTTTTTAATATATTAGAATGAGTACATTACAATATAAATTTATTAGAACAAGTACATTATTATTTATGGGCTTAAAAAAAAGATGCAAACAATCAGAATATTGTACCTGGTGGGGAGTGCCCAATGTAAACATGAAACATATGCCATTACCTATATTGTACTGTGGTACAGTTATGGAGGCCCTTCATAATGCAGAGGTCAGCTGCCTGGCTCTGCCAATAGTTAGCAATGGCACTATAGTAAGCAGTGTTTAATAAACAGCTGTTTTTCTAAATTCTGCTGAGGTGAAATTCAGTGCAGTCATGTATCGTGATATGTATCGTATCGTGGCCTCTGTATCGTGATACGTATCGTATCGTGACTTTGCTGGTGATACACAGCCCTAGTAAGCGGGTGCTTTTTGTCAACAGTCCAGAAGACGTTAAATAAAGTGCGTGCATCTGTAATAAAATGTGCCTCACACGGCTCCGGGGGGGTGAATAAAGGCCTCCTGTAGCGAATCCATGCGTTTTTGTAAGAACAATATCCATATTTCAAATGTAATAAACACTTTTCTCTCACTTGCGGTATTTGTCATATGCGGAAGACGTTCCGGCAGATATCGTGGGGTATTTAATGAAAATGCAATTGAAACGTCTTAAGTGTAAGTGTCAGTGCATTTAAGAAAAATAAAAAGACATTTAAATCACCATTTTTGCTACCCTTTTGCTGCACATTTGGCTCAGAATGCATTTTGAAATTCACACTGCATTTTGCTATAATTATCATGCGGTATCATGATGAAAATGCAATCCCAAGTGTCCTACCCGTACCTCTACATGCATTTAGAAAAAATGGCATTTATATTATAATTTTGCTACAGTTTTTGTTTGTACATGTTAAAAATATCAAATTAATTTGGGTAATACAATTTCATTTTCATTTTACAACTTATAAAGCGTTAAAATGTGTTTTTAATTTACATATTAAAACTATTGTAGATAATAGCAAATGCAAATTATATAATTGAATTTTCATTTTGCACTAAATGTTGCACATATGCATGGGAAATTTTAAATTTAAATATAGAAATACATTACCATTTTACACATTGTATTGTCATTTTGCATATTACATTTCAAAATGAATTTTGCTACCCATATGCTTCCATAAGAATTTACCTCAGAAGAATGCGATGCGGGGTCAGACCCCAGAGGGTTAAAGCGGTGTACGCTAAATGTGCCACAAACAGTCATTAAAGATGAATGAAGAATAAAGACCAACCTCCTTGTTCCTTGCGTTTTATTCTCCAGGTTTCTGGTTCTTCGTGTTTTATTCTCCGGGTTTCTGGTTCCTCGTGTTTTATTCTCCAGGTTTCTGGTTCACTCGTGTTCTCCTCACTCTCCTCTTTAACAAACACCATCTTCACAGCAGCAGATCTCAGTTCAGATAATACTCCTCCAGATATCCCTGCATGCTTGAAAACTTAGTCACGACTATGAAGATGAGAATATATGACCTGATTCAAAAACTGTATTTTTATACTTACAGAAACAACATTTCTAACAGTTTGTATTAAGCCAGCATCACGACAAAACAACAGAGAGCACGGTGAAACTAATCTTCTTCCTCTGAGGTTTAATGGTGTTTGGCAAACAACCGTATGTGTTTTAGCGCCACCCGCTGGACTGGAGTGTGAAGCGGCGAGAGGAGGGAAATAATACGGGAAAAATTAAAGGTGCGATGATTTGTTTTCCTTTAAAAAAGCCGATCTGCACAAATAAATTAAAATTATAGACTCACGTGGTATTTGATCATCATCAACAGTCTTTGTGAGTGAAGATTAATAGAGAAAAACGCGCGAATTTATTAGTCAACTATTTGAAATATGAAAATAAAACGATCTAAATCCAAAATAATAAACAGGATTAGCATGAAAGACAACCATGGGTTATGTGTCCATCTAAATATCTGAAACTTAAACAGTTGAATGAACGATAATGTGAATTCCATATCCACAAAATAAGATTGTGAAGATGTTTCTGAAAAGCTGCTTTTGAGGATTAAACTTGATATTGAAATTGATATTGCATTTTGCAGTGTCTAACATCAGATTCTGTGGTGAAGAGAATAACTAACGAGGATATTGCTTTATATCCACTCCAATTTTACAAGAAGTGAGACCCAATTCAGAGCCAACTGTGTTAAAGTCATTTTTATTTGGTGCTGAAGAAATCTGGGTACCGTAATCATACATTAATGGACAGAGTTAATCCTATTTAATCTTACATATGATTGTTAACGTGTTCAGAGTATTTTAATTAATTAAACAATAGATAAAACAATATATATATATGTTTTAATAATAATGATTAGGCATCCAGACAGATCATGATACATGCTGCTTGTACTACCCTGCTGTAAAAAAATAAAAATAAAATAAATAGGCACCATCTTAAAATTTGTAATGGTTTTACTGGTTATAATGGAACTTGTATTGGTTTTAATGGAAACTGTAATGGTGCCTGTGGGTTATCCTAATGGAATGTGTCCCAAAACACACTAGAGAAAACCATTTTTTAAAAAGATGATGGTTTGTAATGTTTGTAATGGTATATGTAGTGGAAACCATTAGATTCCCTTTCATGGGAACTTCGAACTGCGTCCTCTAGGGGTCGCTATGAGGAACGCCTCGTCGTGACCCGTGTCTGAAGCATACATTGAAAAAACACCAACTCGTTGGCCGGCGACAGCCATGACGTCACTACCAGTGCGACTATAGTATAAATAGGCGCCGGGAGCACAAATCATTCTCTTCTTCGTCTTCATTGACTGTTTTGTTTGAAGCGTGCATTTCTGTGGTAAGAGTGATCTCCTTAAAAAAGCATTTAAGGATGTGTGCATCCGTGTTGACGTTGTTTAACATCTGATGACACACACGATCTATGCGTTGTTTGTTTGGGCGAAGAGCACGCACACGATGTCTCTGAGAGGGCAATCGGCGTGCAGCGTTTTTTCCAAGGGAAAAAGCTCCGCTCTCGTTTGTCTCTCTTTTCGAGGAAAGAG